ATGGCAGAATCAAATGGCTTACTATCTGTCTTCAACCCTCAACTTACAAACTTCTATTTTAGTTTTGCAACTATAATCCAACAAGAATATTTTACATTGTAGATTATTAACCAAGCGAATCATAATTTCTGCTTCTGTCATGAATTTGTTGTCTTTTGTAGTCAGAATCACACATAAAGTTTACTTTATTGCCTGGTAACACAAGCTAGAGCGTTAACATCCCACACAAGATCACTGGCTGTCAAATTTTTCTATTAGCCTTACACTTGAACTTTGCTTTCACTCACTGTTTGACCAGGCACTAACCTACTTAGCTACTTGGCTATTTTAGGAAAAGATAATAGTTATGGTTAAATTACAATATGCATCACTGCATGACTACTGAAAACTACATTTTGAGCCTCTTCTGTCCAAAAACATATGACACATTTTTAAACAGCTCAAATAAGCTTATATCAATGTCATTATTAGTTTTAACCCAAATACATTTCAGTATTTTACCTCCGTCTTTAGCCAGTGAATGTAAACAAATGTAAAGGGTGATCAGCTGAACACTTTTAGTGCATAACTACTGTGGCTTCAGCTTCAAATCATGGCAAGGTCATCTGTTACAGTTGAGGTTAGAAGTTTGCATAAACTCATCATGGGCATAAATGTAATGGAAATTTCGAGCTTTTCATGATCACATTTCTTTCTTTTTTCTACTGTTCTTTCTTTTCCGGAATTATTTTAGAAAACTAAAAAAAGAATCGAGTGCACAAGTTTGAATTTATTTTGATTTTTTGGTTTTCTCTAATCCAGACAGGGTCATGGTACTGATTGGACGGTTGGTGGTTCAATCCCTGGCTACTCCAGTCTCACGTCTAAGTATCCTTGTGCAGGATGCTGTCTGATGCTGTCTGATGTGTGTGTGAATGTAACATAGAAATCACTTGTATGTAGACGTAGCTGATGTGGCAAGTTGTATAAAGTGCTTTAAGTGTTCAAGTAGAGTAGAAAAGTGCTATATAAGAACCCGTCCACTTACAAATCAACTTCTCATTAGTGATCATGTCTGACAGTGGTAGTTGTTTGACTTTCCAGCACCTACTGGATTGATGAATAGTTAGAGCAATGGTAAAGTCTAAGGAACTCAGTGAAGATCTCAGGAGAATTATAAATTTATACAAGTTGGAAAATCTGTTAAAGCCATTTCTAAACCACTACAGTTTCCAAATCATCAGTTCAAACAACTGTACATGAGTACAAGTTATTCAGATGTGTTACCACCTTCACCCTCAAATGAGAGGAAATTACTCAGGATGTTCAGGAACAACCCAGGAACCACTCAGGCTCAAGCCAGCGTCACTGTCCATGGTAAAGTTTTAAATAGCTGGGGATCAAAGGCTGCTGACCAAGAAAAAAGTCTACGCTCCAAAATTGAAACCTTCAAGCTTGACTGAAATTTGCAGTTGCCCAAATGGAAAACGTTCTGGTGAACGTGGCCAGGGAGACATTAACTGAGCAATCTGGCCAGCTGTGGCTACAACTGTAGCTGCCTCCACCAGTGTGTGAATGCGAGAGTGAATGAATAGTGGAATTGTAAAGCGCTTTGGGTGCCTTGAAAAGTGCTGTATAAATCCAATCCATTATTATTATTACCAGCTGTTAAGCATGGTGGTGGCAGCATCATGCGCTGGGGCTTTTTTGCTGCCAGTGGTACTTTGCACAAAGTGGATGGAATAATGGAGAACAACCTCCAAACCCTTCGACTTCAACTCAAACCAACAGCTAGATGGGTGAAAAAAAGACAATGATCCCAAACACAAATCAAAACTTTTTGGAATAGATAAAGCAGGAAAACATTCTGGAATGGTCTTCCCAAATCCCTGGACTCGAACCCTACTGTAAATGTGTGGACTAACTGACTAACTCATTTAAATGAACTTTTCCAATTCTGCCAAGAGCAGTACTCAAACATCCAGCCAAAATTATGTCAGAAGCTTGTTTATGAGTACCAAAACTGGTCGAGGTGCAGCTTGCTAAGGAGACATTTAACCAAATAACACATAGGAGTGTGCGTTTGAGGTTGCATGTATAATTTTGACCCTGTCGATGAAAGAAAATCCAAAATAAACTCAAACTTGTTTTTTAAGTCCATTAAAGATGTGTGTGGTACGGGCCACCCTGGAAAAAGAACAGTTAAAAGAAATGAGTAAAAGCCCCAAATTACTATGATATTCATGCCCGTGATGAGTGTCAGTAAACGTCGGACCACAACTGTATGTACTGTGTCTCTCTCAGCACCATCAATGCACTCTGCCCGACACTGTTTCAGTACCTGGTAAAAGACAAATCACCTTGAAAGCCAACAAGGAGAAACAAACTAAAGTGAAACCAAAGAAAGGGAGGATTTGCAAACCTGTACACAGGTGGTGATACAAACACTTTTACGACACACTGCTGCCTTTCTGACAGTATGAGCACTTAATTACGGAGCCCCGCAGGGGACATGGGAGAAAAAAAAATTAAGACGGACTTTTGCGAGATCTCGCAAAACAAACTCGAGATCTCGCAAAACAAACTCAAGATCTCGCAAAACAAACTCGAGATCTCGCAAAAGTTGAATTCCAACAATGGCGG